AGGTGTGGTGTTCGGGCCTACTCTCACCTGGCCCATACTCTCACCTGGCCCATACTCATGGCTCATCCGCTCATTGGACATAGCCTTTGGTAACCAGCTTTGCTGGGGCTGGTGTCCGGTGCATCCTACTTACCAAGGGGGCTCTCAGACCATGTTCCGTTATTGTTAACCTTTTTTTTAGCTGAGAAGGAGCAGGTCTAGGTGTTTGAGATTGTCTTCTGGATGGGTGAGGGATGATGGAGTGTCGGCAAGAGTGATTCCAGTGATGGACTGGATTTTTAATGCGGGTTCTACTTTGGCTCCAGTGGTGTGAAATGCCTTTAAGGTCAGAGGATAATATAGTTCTGGAATTAAGGCTGTTCATATTGAGCATGGAGTGGTTCTTACTGAGTTTCAGGATGTGGAGGCTGCCTGTGCCTCGGCCTTTTAAAGACTCCCCTGGGGAAGATACACTTACTGCTCTTTGACAGGCCAGGCATTCTTTGCATCTTCACCATGTGGAATTGACTCAGTGTTTCTTGCAATATTTGAGCCAGGTGACAAACATGGCAAACCTCTGGCTATGTTGGTAGTAGAACAAAGAGCTCAAAACCAATATCCCCTGCATTCTAAATGGCTGTGGTGCTGGGGATCACTGACAAAGAATCTCTGGATGCGGATATCTCCATCCACGTCTCCTGTGCCGGATGGTTTTCCAGCAGAGTGGTATAAGCTGCATATGGATCTCCTTGCTCCCCGGCTCAGAGACTTGTACGTACACTGTCTGGAATTGGGGGTAATTCCTGATTCCTTTATGCCCCGTTCACATTGAGCGGTTCGCAAATCGCGCGTTTTGCATTTTGTGCGATGTCGCGCAAATGCTTGCATTGAGCAAGCTTGAATCGCGGCTAAATCCGCTCCAAAAAGGGTCCTGCTGTAGCGACACACGACCCACAACAGCAGGACCCTTTGCCCCATTGAGAAGCATTGGAGAGCGATATCGCGGGAATTACCACGCGATAAATCGCTCAATGTGAACGGGGCCTTAAAGACGCTCATATGTCCAGCTCCCCAAGCCTGGCAAGGATCCCCTTTTGTGCTCCTCTTATAGGCCCAGTGCTCTTTTGAATATGGATTTTAAAAATCTTGCCAAGTGTTAGCGACCCGACTTTCCAGAGTTATTGGCTCGCTGGTGAATATTAATCAGACCGGCTTCATTACTGGCAAATCCACAGACACTCTGCAAGGAGCTGGTACTGTGTCTTTTTGCCAGCTTCCTGTTTGTTAAACAGCTTTATATATGTCTGCTGTTTTCTCGTTGCTGACCTGGACCATCTGACTCTTCTTTGCTTGCTGTGCGCCCTGATCTTCTGCCTGGATCCGTCTTTGCTCTGGTCTTCTGTGTTTATCCTCTGATTACTCATTGCTGACCTGGGACCATCTGATCACCCTATTCTAGCTGCCTGCCTTGAACTCTGCCTGGATCTGACTGCTGTCTCCTCATTGGAGCCCTCTTGTTCTTGTCCATTCCATAGCAGGGCAACCCTGGTGATCGCGACCTGGTTCCAGCAAGCAGCCAAGCCCATCTCCACCATCAGAAGCTCTGGCAAACACCGGCTGATATTTAGACTCCACCCCTCAGGTAAGCCCGTGTCACCCTAACAGAAAGACACAGCCCAGCCTCATGGTACACTGGAAGTCCTGGCATGGTCCCTGTGAGATCCATTAGTAGCAGATCTTCAGGGGGTGAGGGGTTAGTTGGCTCTTCTAGACCAGTGGTTCTCAACCTGTGTAACCTCAGGACCCACATATGTCCTTGATCATTAAGTCATGACCGAAGTTGCACTGCAATGGAACACACAGCATTAGGGTATCGCACATTCCGGTGCGGGTGTACGAACTGAGGGTGGGATGCGTTTGGGGTACCATTCAAATGAATGGCAACACAACACACCTCCCACACCAGAATGCACGGTAGGTGCGATTGCGTGGTACAGTGCGTTAATCACACAGTACTATGCGATTATTGCACTGTATTAGTGTGAACGGGCCCTCAAAAAGAATGACAGACACACACAACCACAGACACATTCTTGCACACTCAAGACATTCTCACACACCCCAAACATTTTTTTGTTTTTTTAATTTATTTATTTTTAAGGTCCATGTTGGAAGACTACCCAATCTTCCTACCTTCTGAGAACTGGAGTGGATCCTCAGCCTGGGGTCCAGTGTGGGCTGCTGTACTGTGACTGAGCTCCATCCATGTGTGCATTGCTTGTGCAGCTCCCTTGCATGCCCTGTAGAGGTGCCGGGAACCAGAATGTGATGTCACTCTGGTCCACTGAGGGAGCTGTAAACAATGCATGTAGGGATTGGAGCTCTCTCACAGCCGTAGCCCCATCCCACCTCAAGCTGGCACTCGGCGCCGGGCAGCATATTTTGAATGGCTGCATGGCGCGAGAACGGACAGTGCTGCACTAGGGGGAGGCATAGGAGCCTCTCACCTAGAAAAGAGGAAGGCATGCGGCGATGCACTGAACATGGGGTCGTGACCCACTTTTGGGTCACAACCCACCAGTTGAGAACCAAGGTTCTAGACTTTAAAAAAATACTACCTGGCTGGCCAGATGGTGGTAATACATAGATGGTTGACTAGGGATGATGGTGATGCTGCTGTGGTGGTTGAGGTTGCCTCTTTGGGTTCCTATTTTATGTCTTATTTGTTGTCAGCTGTAATTATTGTTTGTAATTAAGCGTGCACCCTCACGTGAGTGGGTGTCAATGTGCGTATATTGTTCTGTTATATTTTATACTTGTTTTACAAATTACTAATAACAATAGCTTATAAAAAAATAATAATTAAAAAAACGTGTTCACTCTTGAAAAGGAGACTGAGAGGGGACATATTAGTGTACAAATTGTTTAACGGCGATGGGATAAATAGTAATAAACTGTTTACTGTTCAGTCAAGAATACAAGGAGCCACCACCTGAAACTGGAAGAGAAAAGGTTTAATCTTAAACTGTAAAAGGAATGCTTTACTTGAGAGCTGTAAAATTGAGGAGCCCCCTTCCAAAGGCAGTGGTTTCAGCTGAGACCTGTCTAGAAAGACATACAGAGGTACAGGTAATCTTAGTAAAAGGTGCCCATACACCTTGTGATTATCGTTCGAAAAATGAACAAGATCAGGTTTTTGTATTATAATCGTCCAGTTGATCAGAAGTGAATGATCACAATTACTGTACAACTGGCCGAATTTCTTCTATTGGGCAGGCTGGAAAACGGTTTTCGAACCGTACGGAAATTGATGGATTTGGGGCGTTCTTTTACAAAAAAAAAGAAAAACTGCAACCTGAACACTGCACATGCGCAAACAAGAATCAAACAATAATCAAAATGTTCATTGGTCTATGCATGATGGGGCAGTCGTGCGGAAAACAAACAGGGGTTCGATGATGGGACAAAAGAAAGTGAACGATAATTTTAAGGTGTATGGCCACCTTAACTCAAACACACACAGAAGCATTGAGCTTCAAACTACAAAACACTTAGGTGTGTACCTGGGTTGGGCTAAGTGTTTCAAAATTTACCTTTCGAAATTTAAAAGAAAAAAAAGGATTTCCACTCTAATCTAGAAGACATACATACAGTATTGTATCAAAGAAATACATATCACATATTTATTTTTTGCAAACTAGAAAGACCTAAGGCAATCTGGACTTCATTGTGAATACTGCAGTAACTAAAATGTCTTCTCTGTAGTTCAAAGAATAAAGAATGCCTGTTTATATACTGCAAGAATCCAGCATAGCTTGCAAATATAATGTTACATACCTGGCAAATTGTTATGATAGCATTATTTACAGTGTAGCACCCTATAAGCAGGAGTGCTTATTTAAATTAACTTTTTATCAGATTTTATTCAGTCTGAAGCCAATTTAATAGTCTATGCTCATTTGGTTTTCCCTACGCAATCTGTTATTTGCATCTGCTGGGTGTATACTTGCCACAGAGCGGAACAACCAATAAAAGATTGTTATGAATATCTATGTCTCCCTGGTCAATCAATAGGGGGTTCATGGTCAGTGTTGCATGCTGGGAGAGGACACATATCTGGGGCTGACCATGTAGGGCTCTTTCTACCCTGGGCCCTGCCTGGGGGGAGGCTGCTACTGTCTCTCTGATTTGGCTAGGCCTGAAGGGGTGAGCGAACCCGGTATGTGTTCGCTCACTCCCGATCTACTGAGCCGACCTGTGACAGTCTCATTGTCACAGGTCGGCTAGAACTATGAGGTGAGTGGAAATCACTCATCTTATAGTTCTCCTTTAATATTAGTACAAGTTTTCAAAATATTATTTGCTCCATGCTGCTAGTTAACTGTAACACTAATAAATGATAAACAAAGAGTGCTTATTATCGGCAATAGCATAATGCCAAACTGCATATACTAAATTAAATTGGCAAAATATTAAAGTGGAATTCCAGCCGAAAACATATTTTCGTTTAGATAGCATGAGGAATAAGGAAGGGTATAACGTCTGTCCGATTTCTACTGCTGTCTGGATCTCATCTGTCATAAGAAAGGGATAAACGTTCTTCTTCCAGCTCTCAATAGGTGGACACAGTCATGTAGTGAGAAATCCCTCCAACAGTGACACAAAGCAATTAAAATGCTATTTTTATCGCATGAAAAATGACTTATCTGTTATGTTTTATACCTGTCTATGTACCTACTAACAAATTGTAAAAAAAATGAATGGCCTTAATTGTCTGTCAAGGTTCTCATTCATCCAGGTCATGGTATATCTGTAAAAAAAAAGTCAAGGCAACTGGACTTGCTGTGTTTTTCTTAGACATTTCAGAATTGAAAAAGCTGGTCCGATGTCCAGTGAAACGTCTTCAAGAAAAATACAGCAAGTCCATTTGCCTTGACTTATTTTTTACAGATGTATGGCCTTAAAATAACTAATCTACATAAATTACAAACACAAATCACTTTGCAGCTATAGTAGTTTACCTGTTGAGTTTGGGAACTGGGTGTCATGAATGCATCAGGAGTCATAAGCTTTGGCTTAGAGTCATTTGAAAGCAAAAGGAGATCAGTTGCATTTCTAAGAATATCACTTTGTGATCCATGTAAGGGCTGGCTAAGTGGCCTCTTCTCTGGTTTGATGTCTGTCATTTCAGCAGGAATAACTGTAAAACAAATCCAAGAGAGAAAGTTGAAATTGGACAAATACATTTCAGATTTTCATTTTAATAAAGTAAAACTGCAGGCTCCTATATGGCAGTGCTGGGGAATTGTGAACATTGCTTAAGTCATGCTACATGCCTGGTGGTAGTGGTCTTGTTTCCCTCAGCTTGTTAATAAACAAGAATGAGTCGATGTGTGAAAGTATAGATTCTTATTTGTTCCCACATAAGAGACCCTGGGTTGGTTACCTTGTTCCATGTGAATTCGTTCTGACTAAATAAGGAGACTAATTTATAGAAATTTACAGTGTTTTCAATGTCTAGAGGGTTATATAAGTTTGACTGATATTAACCCCTTCGTGACTGATGACGTCGAGTGTACGTCACCATCATCAGGGCTGTTTAACTGCTTGAAGACCAGGTGTTTAGACCCCCTTCCTGGCCAGGCCATTTTTCAGTATTTATGCAGATTGCATCACTTCCAGTCCCAGAGCTGTCAGTTCTGGGCTCTTGAAGCCCAGCTATAAGCTATTGAAATGCAATCTGCCAATGGCTTATTTCTAGTGTAAAGGTGACACGTGGGGTCTTTTGGACACCCAGCATCACCTTAAAGAGTACCTGTCACCACCATCTGCTATCACATGGGGGGGCTTGTAAGTCCCCCTATGTGATAGCAATAAAAGTAAAGTAAAAAAAAAATATGTTTTTAAAATTAAATAAATCTAAAAATAATTTAAAATATTTTTAAAGTCTACGTAAACACGTGTCGGGTGTGCCTACATATGAAACTAACGCGCTACACATGTTGGCTATTGCCGCGCACGCCGGAGTGAGAGCAATAATTCTGGGGCCAGTATTTTTGAGTATCTCTAAATTGATGACCTGTGGAGGCTTTTAAAGTGTTGTCTATGGACTTTTGGGGGTACTGAAGTTTGTTGCCATTTCACGGACACACTCAATTTTTAACCTGGGCATGGTGGGTATCTATTTACTCGGTGTAACCTCATCTTTTATATTTTATTTTAAAAAATTGGTATTTTATTGTGTTTTGGGACATTTAAGTACATTTTACACTAAGTTTTGGGGTTTGCTAAGGAGGTGCGCTAATATCGTGCAACATAAAAAATTGCAACTGCCAACATTTTCTTCTATAGGGTCTTGGCTTTCAGAAAATATATAATGTTTGGGGGTTTTAAGTAATTTTCAGGCCTAAAATGTGGAATATAACATGGGCAAAAAAATTAAGAAAAAAAAAGGCCTCAGTCATGAAGGGGTTAATGAGGGGCATGTCAAATGTTAATCAGCTTCTTTGCATAAATGGCCAAGAGGGTATAAATGTATATTGACTGTAAACTAAGCACTTTGCTCTTCGTTGTTAAAGTGCCACATATATAGGTTTAATAAACATGAATTATACTATCATAGCACAGGACAGTGGTCTGGATTATTCTACAACAGTACAAACAAGTACCAAACCCAGTTACTATGTCCTTTACCGTCTCCAGAATCCTATGGAGTCACCTATGTTAGTAAATTGTGTGTCTACACAAACACAGAGATACAGCAGGGCAAGCTGCTTCCTGATTCTTTTTCCTTCTTACTCCATTCTAGAAGATGGAAAGTTGCAGTAGAAGGTTATGTCCCCTGTGCTCTTATATTGGACAAAAAGTTCAGGGAAGTGGAGCGAATAGTCATCGTGTTTCCAAATAGCTGGTTCCACGTCTAAGTGTTCGGGCAAAAAGGTAAATACTTTGCAGGGCAATGTATATTTGTTTAATCCGGATTCATTAGTGAAAAAACGATTGAGAGTTTAAAACTCTATTAGGAGCAGTGCAACATTGTAGGCACACCATCACAGGAAGCATTAGGACTTCACTGGCAGATTCTACATGTATCTGTGAGACTTTGCAGAGCAACCAAGAGAAAGTTCCTGTGACCACAGTAATCCTTCACCATGTGAATAATGCGTCTTTACACTCAAAAATATTCCTCTACAATTTTCACCTGGTGTGCACGGCGAGCCAGCTGACTGCGGAACTCAGTTTCTTATACTGCTCAGCATGTATATACAAGTGCTGGTTTAAACACATTGAAATGTGAGTACAGTGTTGTTATATAAGAACACTATGAATCTGTGTTCACATTGTCGGAACTATTTGGGGCTAAAAGGAATTAAACTATAAGGCCTATACATATTATTCTACATAATGTAACATGGGCATCCTGGATGCCATCTTTGTTCTTTATACTTTGCCAGTATATAAGGTGAATTTAAGTTTTACCCATCTACATTACTATATAT